TACTTATAGCACAGAGCTTTTTTCTTCCAGTTAAGTATAATTGTGAATAGCTGGAGTTGAACGGAACTACATAAAGTACACTGTTAACATAGATACGCAGAATGCTAAGGATCAAAAACAAAGCAAACGCACCAATAAAGAATATGTAACGTGATATACGAAAAAAGAGATCGTTGCTTATTATTAGCTATCAGTTGAAGATGAAATTCACAAGAAATAGAAGTATACATACATATACATATTAAATCAAGAAAATGAAATAAAACGGTCTTACAATCTCTCAATTTTACAATGCCCAGTACGTTCCCAGTATAAAAGCCTCGTTCAGATTATAATGCGTTAAACTTTGGCGGTTTTATTAAATGATTACAGAAAATGTAATACGCTTTAATGTACAAGTATGTATCTTTTAACACACAGCTCAGTGGATACGCGCAGGATCTTTACTGAGTGCAATTGCCATTCATTTAGTTTTCGGGGGTTTACCGCGTTGTATCTGAACGAACCTTAAAATAAAAATCTAATTGATAATTAAGATTATTGTAAAAACTGTATGACATCTACATCTGTAGGAATGCAAAACCTTCATAAAAGATCATATTAAATAGATTCGTTTTCTGTTTCTTTATTTAAATTCAATACAAATTTCTCATACCGGAGAGGTGTGGGTGTTTGTTTGTTTGTTTGTTTGTTTTTTTTTTTTTGGGGGGGGGGGGGGGGGGGAGGGAGGGGCTTTGGTTCAAAAGTCCGAACATTTATTTAATAAGAAAGTTCATTATTCAGGAAAATTGAACATTTGGATTATTATACCCAAGGATAGTAATGATGGTACGGTGCGCGCATGTGTTTTCTTTAATTGCGCTCATTGGTAATGCGCGCTTAATTAGTGTGCTTTTGGATATTAAGCTTCAGTGAAAGTGCATTGCCCTCTGTAGATAGTACCTCTTTCTTTAGTGAGAGTGCATTGTACTGTGTATATAGTAGTACTGTCTACACAGTGTAACGAACTTTTTGCTTCTCCCATCAATAATGGGCGAACTATCTTTCATCACGTGATTTACTTTTGACCAATCGTAGAGCGAGATTATTAGTATGTGGGATATAAAATATCAATAACATTTAAATCTCATTTCCCCCAGAATGATACATTTCATCAAGTCTTTATTTATAAAATACGGATTTGATAGTCCCTTTCATTTTATATACTGCCCAATGCACATTTGTTTATGAAAAATATATTGTTATCATTTCATGCGAGTCATTCAAGTAAAAAAAAAAAGAATTCCTAGAAATATTATTTGCTATTTCTATGATCCAAATATACTATTTCAATACCTCCACAGAAATAAGAAACATATCAGCCATAAATTTCTTACCGCAATATCCGTTCGATTCATGATTAAAAGCTAAATCTTTTGGTGGTAGGTCAAACCTCTATTATTATATTTTAGCATACTTTTTACTAAGTAATAGGCCTATATAATGAGTAAAGACTACATTAATGAAAAGAAGAATTTACTTTCATGGCTGATTACGCAACTGAAACATAATACAGAATATAATTAAGTATCCATCTAAAGTGATTTGAATCCGAAATTGGAGTACACAGAAATCAACAAGTTGATACATATTGATTACAAAAAATTACGGATGATAATGACAATGTTCATGACGTTTTAATACACTGTTAGTACGCTAAGGTGCCTACCAGATTGCAATATAAGGGGAAAAATAAGATAGAATAAGAAGGGGAAAACGAGAATTGGAAGAAGAAACAAAAAGAGGAGAATATGCTGAATTTATATGGTTGAGTACTATTAACTATTAACTATATCCCAATTACTGATATCGTCCCCTATGAGTAAAATATCTGCACTTTAAATCAATGGAGTCATTTTCGTGTTTAATTTCATAAATTGAAACGACCGTTTTCTACAGGAAATAAGGCAAATAAATATTTGAAGTTGTAACGTATGTTTTTTTTTTCATACTGTTTTTCCAGGATTTCGTTTTCTTAAGACATTCATTCCTTTTTTAGTCGACCTTCATAGAATCCCTTCAAGTACATTTTATGATGCTCATGCAAATCTGATTCAATATTTAGCTTAAGTTCGTTCACTCGTCTTTGGTGTGCTTCTGACATATCTTGCAATCTTGCAACATGCTCTAATTCTCTTTTCAAAGCCACTTCTTTCATAATATCCATTTCCTTCTTAGCTTCTGTTTCACTTTCTAATCGCGCTCTAGCTTCACTTATCTCCGCCTTTTTATACTCATGTTGGCTCTCTGAAATCTCTCTTTCCATCGCACGAAATATTTTCTTCTCCCGTTTATCCTCCGTATTCTCCCGTCTTCTGTGAGCTGAAGCACCAGCTTGACCATCATTCTGACAAATTCTAATGAAATCAATGATGCATGACCTCGTCTTATCATCGAGACTTTCATCCTTAGATGTGACGTTCTTAATGACGAATATTTTCTCCCGGTCGATTTTCTCGTTTTCCAGAAACCCGATCATTTTGTTGACTTCTTTGTCCGATATCTCATGTCTGTGGGTTATCACGACAGATGGTAGTCGCTCTGTGCGTAAATGAATAAATGTTAGGAAAAAAAGACATTTATTTAGATTAAGCCGCTTGCTTTGTTCTTTAACAAAGATGAATTTTAAACAAGATGAATTTAACAAATGGAGCGCCAGGAGTGTCACGTATGACAGACATGAGCCCTAAACAAGCACCCACTATTATTATTATTATTATTATTATTATTACCATTATTATTTAACCTAGATGAATTTGACCAAGATGAATATGACGAATGCGTGTCTGTATTGATCTCCAGTCTCTGGTGTAATTTGTACATGACTTTTCTATGTATTTATTCAATAATGAGGATGCCCCTGTAATTCGTACCAGACCTTACAAACAACCTTCACACCTGTTGCTTTAAAAATCAGCAACTTGCATTGACGGAGAAAACAAAGAGGAAAAAGTAATTGTTAAACAAAATGTGAAAACTAGAATGAGACAGCCTTCTCCGAACCTGATCTTTATATTGAACAGTCCAAACTGGTAGTGTAGAAGGATCTAGATATCCTTGGTATCACAATTGACAGGAAACTTTTGCGGCAAAGCAATATCTTTAGTAAAGCTCAGAGAGCTGGGCAGAGGCTTGGACCGCTACGTAAGGTTTCCAGTAAGCTAGATGTTGTTGGAAGATCATCTGTTACAAAGCTCAGATCCACAGTATCATTGGATGTGCTTGCTTGTAATGGATTTTTTCTTCAACTGCCCTGGCCAAATATTATTCAATTCAACAGGAAGCCCTCAGAATAATTGAAGTACAGTGACTGTTCGCAATAAACTGAGCTATTTTAAGTTTTGATGTGTATGGTAAGGCCATTAAAAACAAAAACGTGTTTAGCTTCCTGCCTTTTTGAAAGATAGGAAGGAGGAGGCCCTTTTTTTTCTTCTTTTTTTCCTTCAAAATAGCCGCTCGGTTCATTTTCTCTGACGGCCAGCCAGTCGGGCTATTTTTCAAGATGGCCGCCAGCATTTATGTTTTATTTTCAAATTTGACACTCAGTTTTTCATTATCTCACCAAAAATATTTTGTGTAGCGCCCTCTGCAACAGAACTAAACTACCCATTTAATGCTCCTGCTGTTGATGAGCTTCGTGTTAGCAAAAGATTTACACAGAAGTTATTGGAAGATATTATGTTTCTATTAGGAGAATATTGCCTGACATGGCGTACGCATGTGTACGCAGGTACACAGATGATGATAGTAATAATAAGTTATAATATATTTTAAAAGCAATCACAGGAAAAGGAATTCGTAACTCACTCATATATGTTAAGTTAATTCTTTGAAGTCTGCTACATCATAATCTGCCTTATCTTATGCAATAGAGTGAATAAGAAAAAAGTTTGGGAGTTGTAATTATGAAGTGAAAAAACCAATATGACTTTTAATTCAATTTCATGACGAAGAGTAACGTGTTTTCTGTCCAATGATATCATATTCGTAATATTTGTGCCACGGATGAATGAGGACCAGGGTCTGTAAAAAGTGTTGTCGAAAATCACCTTGTACCAAGTTTTGGCTGATGGGATAAAGGGGGGTCAGGCGATATACATAAAGCAGATATACATAGACGAGTGCTTCTTTGGTATTAAATCTTTTTAAAGCAAAATCATGCCGCATGCTTCATTGCTTCATCGTTTAAAATGATGCAATGTATTACCAGGCTTTCACAGAACCTTGTTTAAATCCATAAGATAACCTTTAGTTATTTTGAATAGCCTACTATTTTCTTGTTCCGTGATATCAAGGATATCTCTACTAATTTGTTCATTGCGCTATTTCATACACGTAAGGAGCATAATAAGGCGTTTATTTCAAAATGCGAATGAAAACTCGAAGATTACTCAACCTAAATGCAAGAAATAACACATATGATTTTTACAAACTCATACATTGTTTTCCGAATGTGATTCTTTGGCCTAGTAAGGGCCGAATGACAATAAATCTAAGAAGATCTCAGACTTAAATTCTTTCATGAACAGAGGAAAGGGAACAACAACATGTTTTACCGCATATTTCTCTTCAGGAAATATCTACTATTTCTGTCATTTATGACTTAAGGGCGTAGGTCCCCTGGTTAATAAGCATAGTAGCATACACATGCTTTAGCAGTCACACAAAACAAACACTGGCAAATTATTATTCAATAACATCTGACAATGTATAGTATTAGCTAGATCTATTAGGAATAAATCACTGTCAAAATAATTCCATAAATTTGGGTTAAAAAAATATTCCAACTTTATGAGCAACAGTGTACTTGCTAACGCTATTTATATATTATAATCAATGTAAAGAAAAATATTATCAAATAAGAAACCTATTATTAAATAGTTGCATAAGGATAAGGCTCATTCGAAGAAAAGAATAAATGTTAATAGCAAGTAAATATGGTCCTACGTACTGGTATTTTGGCGGCATGTCTCGATGAGCTCAGTGATGTTTTCAACTGCGTCGATTCCTCCAATTCCGCTATAAAAGAAAAGATAGATATAGAAGAGTGGATGTCAAAACCCTTTCTCAGTATATTTTGTTATGTAAATTAATTCGATGTAACCCTCATGTATTCTGATAAAATACAAATGCAGCGTAGAATTCCGCGTTCCGCGTTCCGAGGGGCCTGAATGTAACATGTAAAAGTGGTGTTGGTGCAAATTTTTCTTCTGCCCCCCCCATTTTTTGCTCATTACACCACTGCCCCTGAAAGTTGAGCCCCTGGAATGTTTGCCCATCCCCAACCCCAATCCCAAACTGCTTACGGCGCGCATGATCACCACCGACAATGCTAAACACACCTAGGGTGAGATGATATCAGAGATTCATGCCACCAATGTCTTCCTACGGGCCAGTTTTTCCCTCTCTCATGTGGAACAAACCGATTTCCCCTACATGAGCTTATGAAACCCATGTTATTTGATTTTTGATAAATTGGAATTACCTTTTATTTTATTGTCCTGAATTTCCTTATTCTTTTAAGATTGATTTGTTGTGTTTCAGAAATGTATCTTGAAAATTCCGAAACATACGAGACAAAAATAAAAAGGCAATAAAGATAACAATGGTTGTAATATGGAGCAATTTTGGAAATTGAATATGTTGTACACATGTGCATGCAAAATTCCAATTTTCGTTCATTTTTTCGCCCGATGTTTAAAGATAAACTTGAGTTCTGGTAAAAAAAAGAAAATGAATTCTCACAGAATCTAACGAAACTTCCACTGAATGTTCAAGATTACAAATACATGTCATGTGCCAAAATTTTTTGGAAGAAAATGTATACTGGCTGAGTAATGAGCATAGAAAGATAAGGAAATCAGGGTAGTACTAGCCCCGATACCATGTGTGTTGTCCCATATACATCTTTCTGTGTAAGTGATTGTAACTTTACCAAGACTCTGCCAAATTTATGATGATTTTGATGACTCCAGAACCTTGCATTACACACCATTACTTACATGCTATATGATCAACTTTTCTGATCCATTCCACACCTTTTCTTTCACAATGCAATTGCATTACCAGAACTCAAGTTTATCTTTAACTATAAAATGTTGTGTGATCAAACATGATCTCAAAAGGGCAAATCGCGCTTTCAAACAGTTACGCGGCAGGCGTGGATTTCGTACAGTGCGGGGTGAAGGGGGGGGGGGGGGGGGGAAGGGGGGGGGGGTTAAGTGCCCCTCAGTCAGAACAGGATGAAAAACTATCTGAGGCTTTACGTCATGGAACCAATTTGGTAACCACGCACGTATTCACACGTTGAATAATTGAAAACACCCTAATATTGACATCTGGATGGGAACCCTTTGTTGCTTGAAGGATATCAATCCGTTGTGCGTTAACATGGAAAGAAACACATAGCAAAACAATTGAAAAGACTAAAAAGCAAACAGCGTGTGTTTTACAATGTCGCTTACAAAGTGAGTACACCTTTTTGTTCATGTCCACATTTCAGTCAAAATATCTTCTCGACATTGCTCTTGTATTACCCCCAAAACAAACATATACGTTTAAAGGCACTTATGAACTAATAGTGATGAAGTGATACGTGTGGTATACACATATACACTGCCTTGAGAGGTTCTGCTTAAAACTATGCGCAAGAGGTGACTCCAATAGTACTATTTGCTGAACCCCGAAGCAAATGGTATTTTTGGAGTCACCGAGGCCCATAGTTTAACTAGTACCTCGAATAGAAGGCATGGTATATTTGTTTTATATCCTGCATCAAAAATTTATTACGAAAAAAAAAAAAAAAACGTTTTTGGGAATTTTTTTTTAGAACAAACAAAATGTCAATTTTTATCTTAAAAGATTTAAAATATTTTGTTTTTATTAAATTAAAAAGAAAGCAATTAAAAGACACATTTGGCTGTGTTATGGGGCAATTTAAGAAAATAAATATTCTGTATACATTTGTGTGCAAAATCTCAATTGTCAGTGTTAATTTTTTCGCCCGACGTGTTTCTTTGAATCGTTGTGTGATCAAACATGATCTCAAAAGGCAAATCGCGATCTAAAAGAGGTTTGCAACAGGCTCGGATTTCATAGAGTGCGGGGTGAAGGAGAGGGGGGGGGGGGGGGTTAAACGCCCTTCAGTCAGAAAAGGATGAAAAACTATCTGAGGCTTTACGTCATGGAACCAAATGGAACCAATTTAATAACCACGCACGTATTCACACGTTGAATAATGGAAAACACCCTAATATTGACATCTGTATGGGAACCCTTTGTTGCTCGAAGGCTATTAATCCGTTGTGCGTTAATATGAGAAGAAGAACACAGCAAAAAAATGAAAAGACTAAAAAAGCAAACAACGTGTGTTTTACAATGTCGCTTACAAAGTGAGTACACCTTTTTGTTCATGTCCACATTTCAGTCAAAATATCTTCTCGACATTGTTCTTTTATTAACCCCAAACCAAACACATACGTTTAAAGGCACTAATGAACTAATAGTGATGAAGTGATACTCGTGGAATATTATAGCCGCTCTTCAAAGACCGGTGTGGAGCCCCAGTACTGAATGTGTTGCCTTCCCTCGACACCATTATGTATTCTCTTCTCTACACGTGCCTTGCACCACATCCAAAGACCAATCGCAACACACTCCTTTAATTAGTCGCCCAGTCACCTCCAAGCGCATTTTTCGTTCACCAATCAACAGCAAGTCAATTCAATAAAAATCGTCAAATTGCAGCCCCTCAAAACTTCTTCATTTCCGACATTCAAAGGGGAAAGGATTTAGGCCTGACAAAAAATTAATAAATATTAGTTACCCATAAATGATTAATTTACGAGCTATTTCCGAGTCATGAATAACCTACTTATTAGGGGCTAATCAGGTGCTAATCAGGTGCTAATTAATTATTATTGTCTTAATAGACCACTATAGCTATTATTATCCCATAACTAATGATAAAATATCAAATTACCTGTTTTATACATCTTCCTGTTAGCTGCACATCGAGTACAGTACACCCCCCACAAAAAAGTCACTGTACTGAAAGACATTATCTACTAAATCATAAAGAACTGCCATTTTTTCACCACGGTCAATTCTCTTTTAGAGTGATTTTCATCCTATGATTTAACGTACGAGTGTAAATTATTTAGGGAAAAACTGACATTGCACATGAATTCGTAACTGCCTCTTTCGTAATAGAAAGTTTTGGTATGGGGTCATGAATTCGGTTCAAATGAATATATCGGAAGCATATTCAGTCCTACAATATTGAGTGATTGTTGTCGCAGTTGAAATTGAGTCTAAATTATGAAATTGTAAATAATAAACTCTCTATGTTGTATAGCTCCCTCTCAAGGTCGAGATATTAATTAAGCTGTAAAACAATGTTTCTCGACTAAAATCGACCGATTAGCTATTCCCGTTTGGAAATACTATATCACAACTACATATTCTGAGATTTTCATGGTCGCAGCTACTATTGTACGGCCGTAGGCGCTTTTTGAAATTCATCAAAATTTACCAGGAGCACCGGTACATTTTTATATTCCATTTTTCTCGAAAGCAGAAGGGTTTTAGGGGCTAAATTTTCTAGTGCTTATAACACATCCATAGGGGCATCCACATATATCAAAATTGTAAAGATTCACTATCTACCCAATTTTCAAAATTTCCCAAAACTTTGTATTACCTGTAATTTTGGCTTTGTGATGAAACAATAGGCTACACATGGCACTGCCTTACGATGCCTGCCACGTTTACCAGAGATGTGCATTAAAACTATGATTTTGAAATTCACAGTTTTTTTCCAGAAAAGCTGGAATTTCGAAATTAAACAGATTATACGTAGTTTTTGATGATGATTAATCAATAAAACAAGCAATATTTTTAATGGCTACTACATTATTCAACCAAGAAAATGAACCCTTCAATTCAATTCAATTCAATTCAATTTCGGTTTTATGACAAATATACCAAATCAAAAGTCCAAAGACTAACAATAATTGGCTTACAATGTATCATATAAAAATGCATTAAAAACAGTAGATTTAAAAATTCAGTAATAAGTTAAAGTACATTGCTCACATTGTATCATATAAAAATGCATAAAAACAGTTGAATTAAAAATTCAGTAATAACTTAAAGTATGAAGAAAAAAAGAAAGATTGTAAGTTATAAAATGGTGATAATCAATTTGTCAGTGAATTGAGAAGAGAGAAGAAATAAAGAGTGAAAAGTGGAAGAGAGAGAGAGGGAAAGGATAACGAGAGAAAAAAGAGTTCAATTCATGACAAAAACAAATGTAAGCAAATGAACGAGAATTGAGTTGATTCAGCTTAATGAAGCATTGTAAAAGTAAAATGCACATAATACGGAAATGTCAAATGATACATTAATACGAATGCCATTATGGAATTGTTATTATACTGTTTAAAATTGGTGAATGTCAACGACCTATACATATTGGTGAACATTATTAATGAGTAATTATCACATTGTCAGAAAATTGAGAAGAGGAAATACAAGACAGAAATAGAGAAACAGTGGGAGAGGGGAGGAGGGAAAGGAGAAGGAGAGAAGAAAGAAGAAATAAAGAGTGAAAAGTGGAAGAGAGGGAGAGGGAAAGGATAACGAGAAAAAAGAGAGTTCAATTCATGACAAAAAAATGTAAGCAGTTGAACGAAAATTGAGTTGATTCAGCTTAATGAAGCTTTGTAAAAATAAAATGCACATAATACGGAAATGTCATATTTATGATTGAATAAAACATTCAAAATTCAAAATTGACCTGAATCATATTTATGATTGAATACAAAAAATGGACAATAAGCATTGTGGTAGAAGCTGTAGGTGCATGCGGTGTATACTCTGTTATTGACACCTATTATCAATGCGTTCAACACATCATATGGTTTTAATATTTAATCAGTAAATCACACGAGTGTTCACGCATTTCCTATTGGGCTGCGATGAATAGTTTTAGGGCTCCCGGGCCCCCTCAGGATCCCCGAAAATGATGTGATATTCGTTGAATTAACAAGTACCTGAAGTATAAATAATTGCACATGTAGGTAGAAAGAACTAGATGGAACTGCGCGCAGTCGAAAGTGATGCCTCCGTCATGAGCAATTTTACAAACAAAACAGAAGAAATATTTCAAATTCATGTTCGGTTGTAATCCATTAACAGGTTCTCAGAATATTGTGATTACAAGCTATTTCTCATATGCATATATGTCTCTTTGATCTTTGAACTCATAACCCCAAATGCAAAATACATACATGTCTTGAGTTTGATGGTAATCCATCCGTCGGTTCTAATGATAATGCAATCACAAGCTATTTTTGCATACATAATGAACCCCATGAACTTTGACCTTGACCTCATGACCCCAAAATCTAATCAATTCATTGGCTCTGCAAGATTCATACATGACCTAAGTTTGGCAGGAATCCATCAATCGGTTCTTGAGATAACGCGATCACAAGCTACTTTTGCATACATAATGAGCCCTGTGACCTTCGACCCCATGACCCCAAAATCTAATGAATTCATTGGATCTGCAGGTTACAAACATGACTAAAGTTTGGTAGGAATCCATCAGTCGGTTCTTGAGATGAAGGGATCACAAGCTATTAATAATATATAGGATTTTATTGAAATCGACACATCAAAAACCAAAAGCAAACAGTCCAAAGACTGACAACTGTCTCGGATACAAAAATAAAATTTAAATCAAATATAAATAATAAAATAGAAGTAATGAATAAATAAATAAGTTACATAAGTTAAAATATAAAATAACTAAACTATTATCAGTAAATATTGTAAAAAGGACATATAAACAATAAGTATACATCATTACAAGTACTATTTTTGCATACATAATGAGCCCTGTGACCTTTGACCTTTGACCTCGTGACCCCAAAATCTAATCAGTTCTTTGGCTTCGCAGGTTACATACATGACCAAAGTTTGGTAGGAATCCATCAGTCGGTTCTTGAGATAACGCGATCACGAGAACGGGACGTACGTACTTACGTACAGACGTACGTACGTATGGATGGACGGACGGACAACCCGAACACATAATGCCTCCGGCTACTTCCCTATACTAGCTATAAGTTGATGCTCTTGAATTACTTATGTGAGAGCTATCTTTAAAAAGGGTTTTATGAATATAGGCCCTGATCAACACCCTATACATAGAGAAATGGGCACCTTGTTAATAAAGTTGGCTAGCGAGCGTCCCCTATGAGAGTACTTTTTTAAATGTGGAAAGGGTACTGCCAGGCACAACTGGTTAGAGGTTCACGCCAGAAATAATGTGCTCATGAAAACCCTACAACAATATTGATTTTGTGAGAGCCTCGGGATTTATTATTGGTCATCACAAAAGAAAAAAAAAATTCTTACAGTGTACGAAAGGAAAAATCTCACTTACTTTAAGACGAGTGCTGTGCAGTCTACTTTATCCGCAATTGCCATCGGTATGCCTGATTCGTCGGCGGTAGCTGAGTTGCTATCATCATTCCAAATAACATCATCATCAAATGACCTTCTGCCATCTAGGAATTAATCAAACGTAAAATGTATCATGACATAATAAACACTAGCTAAGTTGTCATATTGCTTAAAGTAGTTTAACAAGTTGTAGGTGTTGGAAAAATCATTATCTTTAAAAAAAATTCCATAAGAAAATTTGCATTTAATTTCTTTCAATGATTTGTGAGTGCGTTTCATATTCACGGATTAGGAAGATCTTTGAGCTGACAAAGAACGTGAGACTAACTGGACTCATCCAGACGTTGCCGTCTAATCGGCGATATTTTGTGGTCATCAACGGCAATCGCAGCAGATGGCGCAGACAGAAACATGGCCTACCTTAAGGAAGTGTGCTTGTACCGCTGCTTTTTAACGTATACAGGAATGAACAACCGATCCACCCAAACGCCAGGAGCTTCCTCTACGCCGATGATCTCTGCATCGTCACCCAGAACAAGTCTTATGTGAAGTTGGAAGAGTCCCTCAGTGATGCCGTGGCCGGTCTCATCCCATACTATGCGACTAACCACCTAAGAGCTAACCCTGATAAAACTCAGATAAGCGCATTCCACCTCGAAAACAGGGATGCCAACCATTAACTAAGGATCAGCTGGTATGGGAAAAGGCTGAAGCACACCCACAACCCAGTCTACCTAGGCGTCACACTGGATCGCTCCCTTACCTACAAGAACCACATTGCCAACACAAAGGAAAAAGTTGGAGTCCGCAACAGCATCCTCAAGAAGCTAGCCAACACCAACTGCGGGACTGATGCCAGAACAATCCGGACGACAGCCCTTGCGCTTTGCATCTCTGCTGCGGAGTATGCGTCACCAGTATGGAGTAGGTCGGCCCGCGCATCCAAGATTGACCCAGCTCTTGCAGAGCGATCACTGGTTGCCTTAGGCCAACCAAAGTACAAGACATCTACCTGCTCTGCGGTATTGCCCCACCACATGTCAGAAGGTTGATCTTGTCCCAGAAAGAAAAGGACAAACAAGAAAACAATCCACTCCACCCACTCTTCCAACAACAGCCAGTGGGCAAGCGGCTCAAATCCAGACACAGCTTTCTGCACTCTGTAGAGCCACTTAATACCAGCCCTTACAACCAAAGAATGACTTTGTGGTCTAACCACCTCCAGACCACTCCACATCAACTCTCCCTCAGCCTGAAGGAATCCCTCGCAACCGGCTCCAGTGAGACTTGGCATACCTGGCTAAGCCTCAACCGCCTAAGAACTGGCTACGGACGATGTAAAGTTTTAATTTAGAGGTGGGGTCTAGGAGACGAACAAACAGCATGTGAATGCGACCAGGAACAGACAATGAACACCTGCTAGTCTACCCACTCCTGCCAGAGCCATGCACCTAAGATGACCTGGAAGCCGTGAATTGCCGTGCCAAAGCCTGTGTGGACCACTGGACGGGACTTGTGTAGTGACTCGATAAGAAACAATGCACGAATTCGAATATAATATTGAAACTGCGTTCAAATTTCACCTTTTCTGGAACAAAAAAAAAAATCAACGAATGTGATGAACATGCATGTGAAGCGCATGGACTATATTGTGTTTCAGTATTCACTGCAGCATATAATGACGAACTGCCATATGAACAGGCATTAATTTTAGGGACACCGGAAATGAAATCAACCGATCTGTGTGACCTCAAAATGACGAGCATATCGTCAAATAAACATAAAGTAACATAACACGCACATTCGATTAATTAAATTCATAGCAATACTTTCGCAATAATAATAATCTAATACTAATAGTATTCGGTTCTTGTAATGCGCATATCACATTTAAACGTCTCAATGCGCGTGTTCCCCTGTGCTCTCCATGGACCCAATATCTACACCATTGTGATATTGCCTGTGTACAAAGAAAATAACAGTGGACCCAGCCGAGACCGATGCGGACCCCAAAATGGTACTGGAAAAGCATCGAAAACAGCATTAGCAATCTTTATCTTTTGATGTCTATCTGCCAAATTTGACTCTATCCATCTTGTAGGAACATCATCAAACCTAACGGAAATCTTTTCCAACGTTTCCAATCCCGAGAGTGATGTACTGTATCAAATACACTACTTAAATCTAAACGGAGTAAGAAAGGAGTAAATGTTTGATGATCCATAGCCATATATCATTTACCTGTTATAAATAATTGTATTTCACTAGTAAAAATTGACATTAATTGTTGCTATGAAGGTCCGAACATTGTGGCTTGCCCCATCTAACAACACGTAATGTATGCAGTTTGCATTCTGATTATTAAAATAAAAGTATTTCTAACAATAGCAAGGGTCGTAAATATATCAACAACATCAAAATCAGACAAATAACTGTTTACAAACCAACATTTTTCCAATTCATGAAATTACATAAGAAATATCATACACTTTCAGGAAATGCTGGAAGCTAAAATTTGACTATTCTGACCAAATACAGTTTTATTTTGCTCTAACTGGAAACACACTTATCGACCTTTTTTTGGCAATACTGGGGTTTTATTGGTATACATATTTGATAACGAACTGATACATACTTTTTGCGAACAGAGTAAAATATTAATTTAGGTTAAGTAATTCGGTACTTGCATCTTAATAGTTATCGGATTTTTGATGGTTTTGTGCTCACAATTTGGGGTCACAATTTGTTAGAATGAGCTACAAGGCATTAGGTTTTCATTCCTTCATGATATGATCATGTGGCTTTTTTTTGCCAGCCTTCTGCTTTTTCGGAAGGTATCCTTTCATCTTTATTCAGTCAATTTGTGTATTGATGACTGTTTTATCTGTCTTTTATATTGTTGGATGATTATTGAATTAATCGCCTATAGGCGACAATAAATGCAAATAATAGGAATGCAGAATGCGAATGATTGTAAGCCGGTGACGAGCTAGGGCGTCAATGCAATATTATTTCAGAACGCGGGTGAGGGCAAGGCATTGATCGCCTGCAGGCTACAAAGCAATAAAACAAAGAAAAGGAAGAATGATCGTCTTTGTACGGCAAGGGACATATCATTAAGCATGTTAAGTATAAACCAAAATATCTTTGACACTAAATGAGTTGAAAGTCTGTGTACATATTAAATTTCGACAAATGTGTATTTTTCTCATGCATCAGTCACTTAATTAAAGAGAGCTGAAAATGATGGTTTACGTTTCATAACCCCTCCCACCAAACATCCAAAGTGATGTACTTACGAATTTGAGCAGATAACTCTTTCAAGGCAGCTTTGTTGTTCCAGTCATGCCATCCACGGTTGTCTACTATAATCAGGTCGTCAGTCAATTTGACCGGCTCTCGCGTCATGGTGTGTCCACCCATTGCTTGTGAATTTGCAGAATTTGCAGTCGGTATATAGTTTTTCAGCTTCTTCTGCCATACATGGTTAGTTGTATTGACGTAATTTATCAACGTGTTGATAAAGGACGACTTCCCTGCGCCAGCAGATCCAACAAGCATACAGCAAAATGTAGTGTTTTCCATGATTATGATATGATGAGGAAACAAGATTCCTTCTCCTTGTCCAATCCTTTCTTTAGTTAAAGCAAGGCCGTATATAAACAAATTCTTGACGAAGTGAATACTATAAGCGTTACACGAACTTACAACATTGCGAACACCAGAATACTGACTGCATAATCATAATGCTGTGCTTTCAAATATGCTGCAGGGCACGCCTACGAAGTCATAATATGCAGACAAAGAATATTGCTTTGACCCGCCCCTTTCCTAAGACAGCCCACATCTATGCCATGATATATGTAGCAGCGACGTCGGTGGTTGAGCCTCATTCTACATCGTAATAATACCAAGGCAATGGCTGGAAAAAGTACGGTTGCAGTTTGTTCTTTAGCTCGATTCGACGATGAGTATAAGCACTTCATATCCGTTTTGAAAGAACAGTGCGGAGTATGCGTAAAGTACGTACATATATCAAGTAGAATATTGGAAAATGGACACGATTTCTCTCAATACGATGGCGTGATATTGATTCATTCAGTCCACCGGGGGAGATTGTCCCTATATAACAGACGTGAGAGATGCACGCTATCAAAAACTTCTCCCTCACTGAAAGAATATCCTCGGTAAGTACCCCAGGATTACTCACGATGTTTTTGTGTATGGTAGACATGGTAGTAGATTTTCATAGAATGTCTGAATTGGCTTAATTTGACGGGAGAGGCAGGGAAGCAGTCCTAGATCCAGCACAAAGATATTGTTGTATTTACTTAGTTGACTTCATGAACCCAGTAGATAATATGATATGTTAATGATTATATATAGTTATGAAATTATGCAGTCCAAATGAAGAATTAAAAAAAAATGTATTAGCACTGCTATTAATTACAGCAAAGTTATACGATTTCAAAAGATCTGTGTTGAAATCCACGGAATTTTTTAAAACTAGAAATTGCCATTTCTGTTGGTGAAAGACGCTCCACCACCATTCGGACCACTTTTTCAAGAATGTGTACGGGGAACCTACAAGGGAGGTCAAGTTGGGCCCCTAATTCTACAAAAATGTCACCGTTTTATGAAGTGTGGAACGATATGAGTTAGAGTGCGAAATTCATAATAATGTGTTTATGTGCTGAAAAAGGGTATTGATTGGCCACGGGTGGAGTGTGGATGCGAGAGGAGGGGTGAGGCTGAGCAGTACAATGTAGTATTACAGTATAGTTTGTTTAGTATTATATTCAATCAATTTTTTGTTATCATTATTCCAAATTCATTTCCTGTAGGTAGCAGGTAGTGCGATTTGGGCTTCCGGGTTACTTCAAAACTAGTAATGACCAGTTTCACCCAAAACAGACTATGATATTCAAATTAGCACATAATGTAGTAAATATGCAAATTAAATTGAGAAATTTATTACACATATACTGTATACTATTACGTGTATGTTCATGTACTTGGAAGGAAATTGAGTGGCTAGGTAGGATACATGTAGATGGTTTCAAAGAGAAGCAGCACAATCCAGTAATTCATATTA